GACATCTGGTCCAGTGACAGGAGCATGTTGACGACGAGAGAATCGCGAGTGATGTCTCGCGGCGACATGGAGAGATCGTGGGAGTCCCGTGGGCGTGGGGGGGTGCGAGCCGTGGCATTATCAGCCATGTTGGCATCCACGGTAGCGGTGGGTTTGTCTAAAAAGGAATCATTGGAAGCGAGACAGCGGCTACGGGACGATGCAGACGCCAATGCCTGTCGCAATGTAGACGCAGGCGTAGGCGTAGGCGTAGGCGTGGGCGAAGGCGCAGACACAGGCGCAGACGCAGACACGAGCGGGCGGACAGAGGCGGCAGCAAAGGCAGCCACGGGAGTCTCGCTGGAGGCAATGCCAGTGCTAGGTATCGATGGAGTCGACAATGAGGAAGCGAGGGCTCCTTTTGGTGCTGGATGCTGGCGTGCCTTGCGGCGGTGACGGTGGTTGCGGTGGTCCTTGTCGGCCGTGGAGGTGGGCGTCGAGGTGGTGGTCCCTGGATTGGTGGGTGCAGCAGTTTGCTGCTCCAGCTCAGGAGTCAACGTACTGCTACTCGCAGCTTGAGCACCGCCGAGGCTGGACACTCGGGGTGGCACCGTCACCGGCACCGGCTCAGGCACAGAACCCGGCACAGGCACGGGCGCTGGAGCAGGCGCTGGAGCAGGGGGCACAGAGGTAGCGCCGCCTGGTGGGAGCTGGCCAGGCTCGGGCGAGTTGGCGACGGGCGTAGGCGCTTCCAGCACGGTGGACAGGACCCTGGGCTTGTTCTTGCCGGTCAGCGGCGGCGTGTGCAAAGACACGGCGGCTGACGACGATACGGGAGCAAGGGACGTCGACAGGTCGCGGGCGAGATATGTGAATGTTGTCTTGGAACGGCGTGCGGGCACCGTCGAAAGCAGCATTGTGGAGAACCGGCTCGAGTGAGCACCTGCAGCCAAGAGACATGGGCTGGAGGGCCAAGCACTGGACCCGCGCAGTAAGGGTCAACGGGTCCGGACTGGCCACTAGCACGATCTTGTGCAAGCTCGAGCTGCCTCCAGTCTTGCCAGTCCAGCAAGTACCAGACGGATGCCCACCTCGCTTCCTCGCGGCTTCTGGCTCAATGTGGCGACGCCCGCTCAGGTTCGTGCCAGGGGTTCACATGTCCAGGCCTTGCGAGATCAAGAATCTGGCCCAATGGGGGAAAGCCTGCTGACCCCAGCTCCAGTCTCCGATTGATTCCAACGCCAAAAGAATTCAAGAATAAATGGGAGAGGCAAAGGGAGAACAGGGGAGGGGGGGAGAGAAAAAAAGAGAAGGAAAAGGAGAAACCACAAATGTGCCAGTAGGGCTGGCCGATGGCTCCCATATAGACCACTGGCTAAGTCGCGTTTCCTTTGTTTGTTTCTTGTCGTGGTCAGTTATTCATGCACGGGATATACAGTACATACATACATACAAGTCAAGCGGGCCAAGAGCAGGACCAAACACCATCATCTGTCGGCTCCAGGAGAGCGCCGCATAGTCCCCTTGCTGTCACTTCTTCTAACCAGGCCATGCAACCACGCTCCAACTCCATGTTGACCATTTCGACAGGGGGCCGCCGGCATGTTACATGTCTGAACGCAGAGATGGGAACCGGCCAGCCCCAAGCCGTCCTACTGGCTGGGTTGTTTTCCATCCGAAGGCTCACGTCTATGCTCGACGATTCTGTTGACTCCATCCGACACAGCTGTCGGCCCAACACAAACGTGAAACGGCACTTGGACGATACATATATGCGAGGAGGACGCGCAGGCTGCAGGCTCTCGCATCGCCGCTCTAAGCTGTCTGTCCATGGGCCCAATGGGTCTTCTGGCCCGGCAGCGCCCATCAGCAAACAATTCAATCCACGGGGGTAATCCGTCTATGCGGTATTGTCCTTGAAGCATCATGGTCAGGCAGTAATGCAATATCGAGACTGTCCAGGTTTTTTCAGGCGCCCCCGGACCGGACGGGGTACGCAAGAGACGCTGGACGAGTCAAATACCCAAGCAAGTCCTCCTCCACACCACATCCCAGCATCGCAGGCCCTAGAGAGATGAATTGTCAAGTTCATTCACCTGTGGCCAGTAATATGGACACTTCCAGAACTGCCCCGCCTAGAATCGAGGGTTGAGACTCGAGAGCTGACCCCTAGGCAGCAGACGTTGTGGATCGCCCGCTCAAAGTGGCTGGGAGATTCAACATTTGAAAGTTCTGCTCCCCTGTCGGTTGTCACTCACTGGTCGGCCCCCTTTTCTTAAATGTTCCAATGCGGTTTGGACTCTATCAAATCAATCATGAACCTGGCAGGGCTCTCATGTGTCTGCTTGTTGGTTGCAAGCAAACAGGTAAGAATCTGGCCACCGCTCTTAGTAGGGTTCACATCGGCTCTGTATGTACGGAGCATGTACTCCGTAGAAAGAACTCGCACGAGTTGCAGGTCAACCATTCCAGAGAATGTCGGGTGTGATTCAACATCCCAACAGTTGCATTCCTGCGTCCTTCGGGAACCCTTCTTTTGTGCTCCGTACCGAGTACTCGGCTGCCAATTTTGTCCCCTCGAGCTGCATCTTCCATTGCACCAAACACCACCATGCTAATTTCTAGTCGAAATACTATATACCCTGTGTGGACTTGGCCTGGAGCTCAGCGGCGCATAGGAATGCTACATGCCTTTTGTCGTCTCGTACAAGAACGGATGGGTTGAGTGGATCTCGCCCGCCCGCCATTTCCACCTTGGGTAAGTATGTACCGAGTACTCTGCACAAGTCGACAATCTCTGTCCAGATCTCGTTTAGTCTCATACATCTACATGTACATCTGTATTTCGCCATCCCTTTGGCTGTGTTAAGGTGCAGCGGATGTCACGAATTGGCGTTCTAGCCAATCAAAAACCTAGTATCTAAAGGTACATCTCTATACTAAGAAATAATATAATAATAGAAGTCACTGTGATTCTCTTAGCTACAAAGAGCTACAACCTATAGTCTATTAAAATACCTGCAAATAAAGGTGCCCGCTAAGTATCGCAGAAAAGTGGGTACCGCTACATCCGCTGCACCTTAACACAGCCAAAGGGATACAAGACTAGCATCTGATAAGGAATAATACCGTCGACCCGTCTATGCATCATGAGGCACCGAGGCCACCAGGTAGGTCATGGTTCCTTTTCTTCCCCCGACGATTACTCCGCACATTCCTCACACGTCCATCTCTACGCAGCCACCAACCAGTGTGAAACGCACTTCCGGTCCAAGCATTACATTACTCTGTCCAAACACATGTGCAGAGGCAGCACGCTGTCGGTACAGCCGAGTTCCACAAAATAAGGCATCCGTACGACCTGAGCATCAAATAGCGTTGACTTGGCGTTTCGGGAGCGGGAGCGGGAGCAATAGCATGAATTGTCGCGATGCATCTATGTATGCCCACTTCCTCACCGCATAATGCAACATACATACAACAGCTCACCTATTTCGCACACGAATGGAGCCTAGACCGCAATTACAAAAGTCGATTGTGCATCACATGCTAGACACGTGGCGCGCCTATACGCGCTCGCACCCAAAAAAAAGAATGGCCCTTCTAAATCTGCCACTGCGGACATCAAACATCTTGTTGTCAAACAAACCGCTGGACGCAATGCGTTACAGGTTCCGACAATGATGGGGCCCAATCGCATCCGGTGCCACCAACATGAGATCCGGTGCCAAACCTCCAGATATTCGCACACGTCAGCTCAACGCATGTATATACATACAAGATTCCCTGCTCGTCACGGGTCCCCCCTCCAGGTATTCCATCTCGGCCGAAAATTACGGGGGGCATCCCAGTCCAAAGAGCTTGTCGCCGTCCACACGGAACCACCTGGCCTAAACACCCAGAGGCTGCGGCATGTCTGGCGTGGCATTGTACGCAATCCTGCCGGCTGGCAAGAAAAACAATGCCACCAGCGCGCCGCCTCGGACCTGCGGGTAGTGATGCGTCCCGGGCCCAGGCGAGGTCCAGCCGGCGCCCTGCCAGCCCTGCATCCCCATCAGTTCTGCTGTGTCGTCAACCTGCACGACGCAGTTGATCTCCCCGTATGGGTGTCTGTGGTACTGGCCCTTGAATTCCTCCTGGCTGTTCATGTACACTGTTGTGATGCTGAAATAGCGAGTCGCCGCAGAGGGAAGCGCAATCTTGCCTCGTTTGTAGTTGGGGCCCGAGATTTCCGTCTCGGCGACCCAGCCTTCCGTGAGGCCTTGCTTGATGTACGTGCAGAAGTCTTCGTAGAATGGGTTTCCAGGGCCAAATTCCTTGTTTAGCCTTGCCTCGAGGTCCTTTCCGGGTGTTCTGTACATGGGGCGTGCTGGTGATGAGCGAGTGTTGGCGCATCGGGCAGCAGGCATACGGAAGACTTACAAGTCTTGCACCGTCGTAAAGAACTCGGCACAGCGCTCAACAAATTTCTGAGCTGTCGGGTATTTTGTTACGTCCAGCACCGCCGCCGCGTCACTTGATCGATCCATTTTGCCGAGCTGCCACCAGAGAAGCCTAAACAGTCTACCCGACTTGGTTCCTAAGTACGCAGCTACACACTCAACGTGGTTGCTGTATGACAGCGGCATGGGTGAATCTACCTAATAAGTACCTACCCAAGTAGGTAGGTAGGTAATCAACAATTGGTTGCAACACATCGAGTTAGGAAGCGTCTGGTGCGGGGATCCGATCTCACCTTCCGATGAGCGGGACTCGACATCGGGTCCCCGTCGCCGGGAACGACTGCCGGCAAAGGTCAAGTTCTTGGTACCAAGTACCATGGCAAAATTTGCACCAGTAGGACGACCTCATTCCTCTACGCCGGAATTTCGGGCCCTCGGTCCTATTGTAGATCACACGCTTACTCCGTTATATCCGATATACCATGTTGCTTCCCGTCCAAATGCCGGACAAAACGCTTTCCAGATTCCATATATACAAGGTCATGTAACTCCCAGGTGATATATTCGCAGCTTCTAAACCTACATGGTCGCATTACGGCAAAACCCGGCTTCAGTAACGAGATTTGGTGGCTCGCCTCCGGGAGATCGTCCGTTTCTATAGCTCCATAGTCTGCTTAGCTCCTTGACCATGACGTCCGTCTTCGTCCGTTTCCTGCCCCTGGTTCCGTGGACTTCGACGGGTGTTGATATGTGCCCGGTTCCAAATCCCTCTGTTCCCAAATAAGAAATATCGAACGCTTCTCTTGCATTCTCCATGGCATCACCCTCCTTGCCGAACTTGATAACTTCCTCCATAAACGCGTTCTCCTCGTCGGCGCCTATGAATTCACCTGTTTTCTTGTCACGCTCCAATGGAAACATGCCATTTAAGTAGTGTTGGTTCAACTGGTGTCCACCGCTGCCAGTCGCGCGGTTGAATAGCCGTCCAAGAAACCGAGGAAGCTGATGGGAACCCATTCTGTTTGTAGCGAAATGCAAGACTCCCCACATGGCAACGAAATCAGTGGAGTGTGCATAATGTTCTACATGACCGATGGCCCTATCTTTGGCCGCGGACGATACGCGTGAAGAGGAGAAAGACTCAGATGTCCCGGAGGTCGTCAAGGCAGATGGATCTCCTCCCTTGGCATGTCCATTTGTTGCACCGACGGGGCTAGTGACCGGTGTTGAAAAGCTTGACTCCGAGACGAATGTTCTGATGGCGACCAGAGGGTTGGTCGCTGATAGATTCTGGGAGGCAACGTGGCGATGGGGGTTGTTGAAGTGATTCGCCGCATTTCCAAATGTGTATACTTCGAGTTTGGACAGAAGGTCTTGTGGCATCTCTTGCAGCAACCAATCCAGAACTAAGCCACCTTCTATGCCGCCCTGGGAATGTAATATGAAAACAACTTTGGATTTGCTAGGGTCGTATAGCACATCCCGAAGGATCTTGTAGCAAATACGCACGTCAGACGTGGCATAGGTGAAGTTGCGCTGAACCAAGCACTCAATAACATCGAAGAGTATTCCCGACGTTCGGTTGTGAATGCCTAGGATTGGACGCCCAAAGGTGATGGCCAATCTATTCAGGTTGGCCATCATCCAGTGATCTCTGTGGGAAACAGGTCAGTGATTATCGCCTACGCGGTTATTTTGGTTCAAAGTATAAGATCTTGCCTACCCAACTGCGACGCCATTAAGAAAAACCCATTGTTCATGTGCATGTTCGGGACGTGCTTTCGCATACTTTTCGTCCGAGTGAAAGGTGATATCTTTTCCATTGAGTAATTTGCACAGCGCCCAGTTCAAAGTCATAAAACCCCCAACACCGAGCGCGGTAATCCAAACGGGGAAAATAATACCCAAGGGCAGAACCAAAATGAATGCGAGCTGTAGAAGCACGAGTATGAAATGGATTAGAATGCAAAAAATATTCTTCCCGCTGGGGTATAGTTCGTCGAGTTCACCAGAACCGCAGGGCCTGATAGGCAACAGGATCCACGGCAACGCCCAGCAGTACACGAAAAAGTAGTGCACGTCCTTCAGAAGAAGCTTAAATGGGAAATCAGTGTAGGAGTAATTGATGACGGACGTGCCACCAATCTGGGATCTGTAGAATTCCGTTGCAGTCCCCATGGTGGTACACGGCGCAAGCCAGAAGCATTGGCACCAGAACAGTCAAGGGGCTTTGAAACGGTCGTCTCCTTGGTGACGCTGTGTGCTTGGGAAGTATCGTCAAAACTCAAGAGACTTGAGCAAGACTTGACCTCGGGCGAGAATTTCAAGAACAAAGAGCCGGTTTGACAAGGACATCGTCACATGCCAAGGAATCAAGGATGATGATGTGGTGGTCAGCCATGCCCAGGGCTGAGCTAGCTCCTAGTCAGCTGGGCGTCGAATGGTCGATCGTGATGGGCAAAAGCAACACAAGCCAAGGCTGCTAGCGCTTGGCGGAGGAGGAGGAGAGGCGGTGCACCCAAGCTGGTGAGAGAGACAAATCTAAAGTAAATTTACATCAAAAACGTACAAATAAGGCGTTAGTGGAAAGTGAGAAGTCTTGTGGACTAGAGACATCAACTAACTGGGTATTCAGCAGAAGATTGGCGGAGCGCAGCACAAAGCACGACACCGGGGGCAGCAAGGTACGGAATCAAATTGGGAAGGAGCAACGGACCATCTTGAAACAGTTGGCACTTGACGACGTGGATACTAGGTACCTAAGCAGTTGGCGGACAGAGCAGGGCTCTTATAGAACAGTTTAAAAGTGCTACTCAAGTACCATATGCTGGTAGGATATTCAATGTTCTTCTAAGCTGTCTTGTGACTCTGACGAAGCGTCCATGGTTGGCATCCCTTTTAACGCTGAGCCGCGTCTCCCCGCGCATCCTCCCCGTCAGCCACATCGGATGCCGTCTGGGGAACCAAGTGACAAGTGCCGTGCGTGGCGAAGTGACCAGCAATTCATCGCCACAAGAGAACAAATGCAGGAGCTGTCCGCCATGCATCCCTAATTTGGAGGCTGCTGTTTCTTTTTGGAAAACACAAAACCGGGGGTGCTGCTCGATTCAGATGGCGGCGGACTCGGCAGCTTGTCGTTTGCCAACGTTTTTTTATGGGCATTTTGGGTCTTTGACGAGGTCAAATTATGGATAAGATTAATGGTGCCGTAAATTCAAGCAACCATGGTGCGTGAATTTGCCAAAGACTTTCCGAACGCCTTTATAATCCAACCAGACTACCATCATATCCTACATTTGTCCCTAGTAGCACCACTGCTGCTCTTGATGAAGATACCAAAGCTTTCTAACCGAAACCCAACTGGTTCTAGAACAACCAGCACTGAGACTGGGTCCTTGCGCCCCCATCCGCCCTACCCTATACCAATCTGCGTCATCTTGGCAGGGAAAACACCGTTTGAATAGCTCGCCGCCGTCTCATTCCGTTTATCCCAGATCTACTGATGCCATCTGCCTGTCGCCGGCCTTTGCAAACCATGACCTTGCCCAGTGGCGTGCAGAATTGAATCAGCCAAACACTCTCTGCACGTCACCTCTGTCTGCGCCAGGCAGGAGCGGAAATCAAGCCCCATGACAGGTATTGATGCCCAACATCGACCACGATATGCAACCTCACCGTCTCTTTAGTCGCGTCCAAAGACCACAAAGGCAGAAGAAGCTTGCCCTCTGCACAGCCTCCCGTATCAACTGACCTGGCTGCAATGCGGCCTGACTTGGATAGTCCAGCCAGCCAGCCACAAAGAATAAAACACCATTCAGTCACACCGCCGGCAATCCCACGAATTTCTTGGTCATGGCTTCACCCTTGTTTCCCCCGGCCACGTATTTCACAACACGCCCGGAAGTCAGTGAAGTTGTTCACGCCGGGAATGTGACATGTTGAAGCACGCCCATGCCGTGTGGGTTTCCCAAAAGCCCACGATGCTAGCGTCCTGCGCGGGTCTACGTCACAGCAAACCCCACGATCCCACGATCTTTTTTCTTCTTCTCTTTCCTCCTTTTGAGAGGAGCCCAGTGTTGGGCACCTGCAGCCCCGCAGGTTCTAGATCAATCGACCTGTAAATCCGGGGGGCCGCTGCGCCTGCGAATATGACAGCGCTGCGAGGATCGGATGGTCAGCGATTCAACAATGTGAGTGCTCGGCAACTCCCATTCGTGCCACGAGGGTAAATCCCGCCACAAGTCGGGCGAGAACGTCGGCGCCTGCCGGATGCATCATGCTTTTAATTAAGATCCCTGGAACAAGAAAAAAAAAAATCATGCAATTTGCGCTGCTGGACTCCAGTATGGAGAATTCAACATTGCCACAACAGTACATGCAAAAAAAAAAAAAAAGAAAAAAAAATAGTGAGCCAAGCAAATCGTTGCTCTCGTCGGTTTCACCTTTTTGCATGACTTATTTCCCTTTCCCATTTCGGGCTGCAGCTCAAGTTGGAAAGTGGCGTTTGATGCGGTCGCCGCATGGCGTCGGGAACCCCCCTGAGCGGCGTATTGGCGACAGTTGCGGCTCTGCCAAAGGCCAAGGTCAGCTGGTACCCAAGTACCGGGTTTGCTAAGCCCAGAAGGGGCCGACACGTCAACGGGCTTGGAATACTCCGTTTGTACATACTCCGTACATGTACTTACATAGTCCTTCCGAAAGATGGAGGAATGCATCATGGCGATGGTGGTGGCTGCAGATGACAGCAAAATCTCATCGCCTCCATGTCCGCTTGACTCAATTCCGAGCAATACACCATTTATTTTCGTGGCTGACCCTGGCAACATGGACACCCCTTCACATGCAAGACTTTCTTTCCCATATTTTTGTTCACCGCGTTTCCGGTCACTAAACTGACAGCGTTGTCGGGAGTGATCGGCAACAGTCGTCGCTGTGATTCGATACCGGTCCTTCGCACGTCAACAAGTAGGCAAGGTACCTTGCGTCATTCCCAGCATGGCGCAACAACACGACGAGATTGAAAGAGGCGCCTTGACTCAAACAAGTGGGGTCAGAAGTTCAGAACTCTTAGAAACTGTGGGACAGGGCCAACTCGGTCCGCCTCCGAATAGTTTATACCTGCGGCGATGCGGTGTAACTGTGAGCTAAGCTGACGCCCTGTCAGGCCACGTCGTGGCGACTCTCACGCCGGCTGTTTCAGCGTAACTGAGCAGAATGGCCAAGGTTATGTATTTGGGTCGAGTTGAAAGCAGGGGGGACGGCGTTTGACACATGTTGTATTCGGCCCTCTATAATTAATATAGTATTGCAAGCATCTAGCTACCTAGGTGTTCGTAAACACACCATCATCAAACACCATGAGCCCCAGTCTAGTCTGAAAATTGCCAAATTCGAACAAAAGTAACAAGAAATCTAAAATTGACAGGACGGGATGCTTCGCGTCATTTCGCATGACGCTGGTGGTATCGATTCCACATTGATCGTTCTAGCGAGCCAAGTCGCGACGCGTGGATGGCATCATTCTGCTGTACATCTTTCATCTGTAGCCTTTCTGGATCCTGTCCCAAATCGGCACACACCTCTATAATGGTTTCGTATCGCGTTCAAGTCGTAACGGATGCGCTCAGTCCTTGGACTTGTGCATGGAGCCGGTGACGTAGTTCTCAGAGCCGAGACCGTTAATGATCTCAACGTCCTCGGGCAGCAGCTGGAAGTCAAAGCTATCCAGGTTGCTCTGGATGCGAGACGCCGTCAAGCTCTTGGGGAGGACAACATTGCCTCTGGCGGCGTTCCAGTTCAGCAAGATCTGGGCTGGAGTCCTGTTGTACTTCTTGGCAATGGCAGCAATGGTGGGATCTTCCAACTTGTTGCCACGAGCTAGAGGAGAGTAGGCCTCAATTTTGATGCCGTGCTTGTTGCAAAGGTCGACGAGAGCCTCACGCTGGCAGAAGGGGTGCACCTCAACCTGATTGACAGCAGGCACAACGGTTGCGTTGTTGAGGAGGTTCTCAATGTGGGCAGCTCCAAAGTTGGAAACGCCGATCGACTTGACCTTGCCCAGTTTCTGGGCAGTCTCAAGCGCACGCCAGCTCTCGAGACGCTTCTTCTCATCCTCGGCAGGAGAATGAATCAGGTAAAGGTCAAGATAATCAAGGCCAAGCTTGTCCAGAGAGGTGCAAAGGGCATTAAACGTGGTCTCGTAGCCGTGGTCCGAGTCCCAGAGTTTGGAGCAGATGAAGATGTCCTCACGAGGGGTGCCAGTCTTCTCAAGCCAGCGGCGAATAGCACGACCACAAGCCTCCTCGTTGGCATATCGGGCAGCGGAATCGATGTGACGGTAGCCGGCGTCAAGGGCAGCAGTGACGGCATCCTCGGTCTCCTGGCCGTTAGGCGCCTTGTAGACGCCGAGGGCCACCTGAGGGATGGAGTTGCCATCGTTTAGCTTGATAGATGCTACGGATGAGACAGAGCTGCTGTGAGACCGACTCTGAACGGCAACCTTCTTGACTGAGATCTGGCGCTCAGGAGAGGTCTCGGGAGTGATGGCGGAGGGAGCCATTGTATATGTCAAAGAGTTGTTTCGTGGGGGGAAGACGTGCAAAACTTGTGCGAACCTGCCGCAGAAACAAAATCAAGACCCAAGGTGCAGGGGCGTCGTGCTAGAAGTAGCAATATTAGAGGTACTTGTAAGATTGGAAGAAGTGACGGTGAAGAGTGTGAGCTTCAACCTTGGACATGGAGGGGGCTGGCACAAGTCTTTTATATTTCGAAAAGACGGCAACAGTTCCTGCAATGTCTCGCGGATACCGACCAGAACCCCTGGTTTTTGGATCAAAGCTGCGTACCTAGCACATCCGCGTCGATAGATACGTTTACTTTGATACCGTCATCATGGTACTCAAGGCACTCTGGGTCCAACAAGACCGTCTTCGTTATAAAAGCACGCCCCCCTGAGTGGAGCACGTACATACGCCCAAAGAAGCGCGACTGACGAGTCAGGTTTGAAGAAGACTGGCAGCATCGCCCTGCCAAGGGCGTGTAAACCACCAGTCGTTGGTGTCTTGGTGTCTATTTTGGAGCGACAAGTGGACATGTTAGTGGATAAGGTTGCGATAACACGACTGCGGCATTTTATCAGGAGAAGCCCCGGTGTTTTTTCATATGTATGTACATATGTA